GGACAGTGCAGTCCTAAACAAAGCATTCCCTTTTCCATGAACATTAAAGCTAATGGTTCCCCAGAATTGAAGCTCCTAGCCATCTCATTGGCTGTGCCCAAGAAACGATATTCTGGCACCCTCTACTGTTAGTCCTGGGGACACAGCCCTAGGTACCACAAACTACAGTGAACATAATTAACTAATTAAGAGAATGCATATATATTTGCAATTCAGGCAGGAACAAAATGATCAGCCTTAGTGGAGAAAAGGCTATGTTCCCCTAGTGGTGATTCATCAGTCCATCCATTCATTCAACACTGAGAGCCTACTATGCATCAGAATCAATTCTATATGCTAGTACCCTGCCCTCAAGGAGCTTAGTCTTTTATAGGAGAGGCTGATAGACATAAATAATTAAATGAGAAATAAACAAATTCATTTAAAATAGCAATTTTTCCCTGCAGAAAATAAAACAGGAAAGTATGATCATGAATGGGAGCGATTTCCTTTAGATAGGGCAGACAAAGAAGGTGGCATTTAGCTGAGAATGAAATAACAGGGACAAGAGTGAAGAATGTTTTATACAGAGAATACAGTTAGGGCAAAGGTCTAAGATAGGAAAAAGCTTGGCATATTTGCAAAATAGAGAAAATTTCAAAGTGGTTAGAGAGTAGTTAACAAGGAAAAGAATAAACAGTAAGAGACCTGGTCAAAAGGTAGCCAAGGCCAGACCACTGAGGGCCCATAGAAAAGGGTAAGAAATTTAGATGTTATTCTAAGAAGAAATAAAAAAAAATCAATGAAGGGATCTAAGGGGGTGGGGAGTTTGGGGATGAACATCTGATTTACATTTTTAAAACATGTTGTGTGTGGAGAGTAGTCAACATCCCTGTGAGTTGGGGGATGTTAAGAGTAGAAGTAGGAAGACCAGTTGAAAGGCTGCCATAGGCTGGTAGTGGTCAAAGTAAGAAATCAAGTTTAGGATATACTTTAAATTTATCAGCAAGTCCTGTTAGCTCTACCTTCAAACTTAGATTTTATAAATTAGATTATATTTTGAGTCTGATAGGACTTGCTAATGGATTGGATGTGGGATGAAAAAAACACACAAAACTATGACCAACTATTAGACTTTCGGCTTGAGCATGTAAGTGACATGGTGGTTCCATTTCGTGAGATGGGAACTGAAACAGGAATAAAATCTGCCCCTCCTCCTATGTTTTCATCTTGATAAATGGAACCACCCAGTCAGAAACCTGAGCTTCATCCAAGGCACTGGCCTATGCAAGTCAACAAATCCATTAAATCTATCTCCCAAAGTTCCTCAAATCTGTTTGTGCCTCTCTATCCCCACTGACTTGGACAATTTTTTAGACCAAATGACCCACCAAGACTATTGAAATGGCCTTAAACATCTCCAGGTTTAAACTCCAACCCAATATCAATGCTACAAATTGTTACCCTGCTTAAAATTCTCCAACAATATTTTCAAAGAGCAATTTGGCAATGTCTATCAAAGTTTAAAATGGACATACACTTTGGCTTTTATGATTTTATCCTGCAAAAATACCCAGAGAATGAAAATATGAGGGTAATTCATTATAGCATTTTAATAGTTGAAAAACTGGACACTCACCTAAATGCCACTAAATAAGGAAATTGTTAAACAAACCATCATACAACTATACTGTAAAATTCTAGTCCTTATTATAAAATATTGAAGATCTAAATATACTGATATGAAAAGACCTTCATATTTTTAAAGATACTTTAAAACAAATAGCAAGGTGTATAGGATTGCATTTATTTAAAGATCATTGTAGAATATCTGTGCGTGTCTATGTTGTTTCTTAAAGGCCTAGCAAAGGCCTGGGATGACACATTAATTAAACTATTAACAACAGTTACCTCAGGGGTAGTAAGATTGGGATGGGCTGTGCAGAGAGTTTTTATTTTTTACTACATAGATCTTATTGGATGATTTAGAAATTTAATATTCATATGACAACAACAACAAACCTGTATGACTATCTTATGTGCTTTAACATGATACAAGGCACTTTAGGACCTGCACCAGCCTTCTATCCGGACTAATTTCTCAGACTATTTACATTAGGTATGCAATAATGTACTCCTGTCGACAGGGAATGTGGGGCTGACTGTTGAAACTGGGTCATGTACTAGGTCTGTCTGCTTTGCAACTGGAATAGGAAAGGCAGCCTCTGGTGTTCAGGACATGAAGCTCTTTCTCAAGAGAAGCTGAGGGTACTTACTCATCCTGCGGAGGGCACAGCAGAATCAGCGCATGCTCTAGCTCTTCCAAGAAAGGAGGGCAATTTCATGACTCTCCCCTTCTCAGCCTATTTGGCTTTACTTACATTTTGAGAATACCTGTATTTATCTTGTTCAATTTATTTTGCTTCTTTTATGATATAAAAAGCCAAATGAATAGATAGTAAATTTACCATAGTGCCAGTGTCTTTCTGAAAATCTTTTTCATTTCCCCAAGAGATTTTTTTTTCTTTTTTAATCCTCATCTGAGTACAGAAAGAGAGAGAGAGAGAGAGAGAGAGAGGAAGAGAGAGAGAGGAGGAGAGAGAGAGAAACATGAATCCGTTGCATTCTATACACTCCACTAGAGATCAAACTCACAACCCAGGTGTGTGCCCTGAGAGAGAATTGAACTGGCAACCTTTTGGTGCCTGTGACCATGCTCCAGTCAACTGAGCCATACCAGTCGGCTTCCCAAGAGATAATACATGTGAAATAGCTTTGGTGGAAACAAAATGCTAAACAAGTAGAAGGTGGAATTATACTGATTTCTAAATTCTAAAGATGTTCATATTTGTTTTTTGATTGTCATTTCTTAGTTACTTTTTAAAACTCAGGAATAAAAAAAAAAAAGGAAGTACATATGTTGTCTTTCTATTGTGGTCCTGGCTGGGAAACTAGCCATAAGAGCCAACTCAAAGAAAAAATGAACTGCTCTTCCCAGTCTTATTCCCATTTAGTCCAATTCTCTCAAAATGGTATCAAAAAAAGTTATGAAATATTCAAATATGTCTTTCTCATTCAGATGATTAGAAATGAAGTATCTTGGCAAGATAGGAAAAGAGAAACCTAATTAGCAATTGTTTTTTCTGTGGTTTGCCACATTCTAGACCAGGGGTGGGCAAACTTTTTGACTCGAGGGCCACAATGGGTTCTTAAACTGGACGGAGGGCCGGAACAAAAGCATGGATGGAGTGTTTGTGTGAACTAATATAAATTCAAAGTAAACATCATTACATAAAAGGGTACGGTCTTTTTTTTTTTTTAGTTTTATTCATTTCAAATGGACCGGATCGGGCCGTAGTTTGCCCACGGCTGTTCTAAACCCTAAACTGCCACCTACACTAGACCCTCAAATAAAATATCTTTCACTTGGTTTGAATTGGTGTAGCATATAAGAAGACTTTTTCTCTCTTTTTTTAGGTTATTTGGCCTCATTTTAAAATGTATTACCTCCATAAAAATATCAGAGCAGAGGAAATCATTGGTGATCCTAGCAAAATCCTCTCATTATTGACAGCTGAGAAACCAGCCCAGAAAGATTACATTAGATAACAGTATCACAGTGCAAGTATCTAGTTAACTGGTCCTGGGCCTAGAACTTAAGTCTCCTGATTTCCGGCTTTGCCAAATTAGATAATTTCTTTTAATCATTCATTTAACCTTAATACTCCCTAAGGTGTTTCGGGGAAAGGGGGCATCTTAATAAGAAAAAGGCTTTAACTTCATGGGCAGGTAGAATAAAAGCATTTTCCCACCAGATACAAGGTTATGGATCCCCTGGAGCCAGGACTGTTTATACATGACCTTACTTACATACTATATAAGTAATATATTTTAGTGCAGTGGGAAGAGAAAAAAGTTCCTTTAAAAGCCACAGTTAACCTTCCATGCTGATGCCTAGAGGTGGGGAGATAGCTCCTTGGTTAAGCAAACATCCTGATAGGCCACTTTGGATGTGATAGGATCATTCACAGCGCTGTTTGGAATAGGAATAAAATGAAGAACAAAGTTATTTCCTCTGATACATTTATAACATTCCAAGGCCTTTGGAAAGAAAGGGGTGATTGAAGAGAAGGAAAAACTGAGCCGAAATTTTAGCAAGATTTAAAGTCAGGATTGTACTTGAGGTGAACTCTGTGAGAATGGCAAGAGACTCATTTTAAGAACAAGAATGTATATGATCCACCCTTATATGCCTGGACTATGCAATGCTGAGACAAAAAACCCTTTCATTGCCTGTCCCCTGCCTATTACTATAAGAACTTCAGTGAGGATCCGTTACACAGACTTGCATTGAGGACACTCGGGGAGTCAACAGGTGGTGCAGAGGAGAGGTGGAGAAGCCAGGGAAGCAGGGAGGCAAAGCAGGAGGATATAAACCACCCAGCCCTTCCCACACTCCCCAAAAGAAATGATACTGAAGAAGTATCCCATGGTGTTAGGATACAACTGTTCTATTTAAATCTTAAAGGACAGTGGGTCACGTGGGTAGCTGACACTTGAGTTATACTAATACAGCCCATCTCGCTCAGAGGAGTTGCCGGCCATTCTCATAGGCTGTGGGTGGTAACAACTCCATGTATCCCGAGGTCAGCAACACTGTGACCACATGTATGGACCAACCTTGTGTGAGTCTGCCCTTCTGAGAGCTGCTAATTGGGAGGGCTCCCATTTTTGGTCATCCTGCCACTGATTGGCTTTTCTCACCAGATTATTGTGCCACCCATAAACCTGTTGGATAAAGTAATATCAAACTCCCTTGAGTCACTAGATATGTTATTGAAATGTGGGGTAGTGTACAAAATTTTATATATTAAGCTATATTTCCCTATTAATTTTGAGTATAAATTCAGAGATGTTTATATAAGGAAATGATAAATCCAGGATTTATAAAAGGAACACCTAAAAATCCTAGCAATAATATAAAAAGCTTACTTTTGTCACTCTTATTTCTTCTTCTTTTTTTTAATATGAAACACTTCACGAATTTGCGTGTCATCCTTGTGCAGGGGCCATGCTAATCTTCTCTGTATTGTTCCAATTTTAGTATATGTGCTGCTGAAATGAGCACTGTCACTCTATTTCTTTAATTCTACCAAGTACCTTCTACATGAACTTTTTAAAATGTCTATTTGATTTCATTTTCAAAATGAAAATACCTTTCCCATTATAACTTAAGACCACTGTAATTCTCAACTCTAATTATATACATCTTTGTATACCTATATCTACCTCACAAGTTATAAAGATTAAATGAGTCAACGTATGTAAAGAAGTTAGTGTCTCAACACATATATTAGCTACTTTTTTCTTTACACACACACACACACACACACACACACACACACACAGAAAAACAGAATCCTTCTATAATTACACATTATGGATATCTTTTCCTATCAATACACTCTTTTTAATGGCTAAATGGTTCATGGAAAAATAATTTAATTCCTGGTTAATGCCTATTTGGTGTACCTATGTACCTATTCTATTTCATACACTCCTGTAATGAATATACTTATTCTTCACCTTGCCTCCTGTATGCACCCCAACTGGGGATTGAACCTGCAACCTTTTGTGCACGGGATGATGTTCCAAACAACTGAGCTAACTAGCCAGGGCTTGTCTTCACTTTTCACATTTACCCATTACATAAATTTGAGAGAGAGAGAGAGAGAGAGAGAGAGAGAGAGAGAGAGAGAGAGAGAGAGAGAGAGAGAAGGAGAGAGAAAGAAGGGAAAAAAGAACTAGGCCTTGAGATATGCTGAAACATACAGCAGAGAAAAAAAAATGAAGTCTAAAGATTGAGAAGGAATAGCCGATGAGGTAATGAGTCAGTGTAATGACTAGGGTATCAAATGAAAGTGTTTCAAAGAGAAAGAATGAGTTGATGGCATCAAATAATGAAAAGCAGCCAAAAGAACAGAGGAATAAAGGGCTGTTAGGTTGGACAATTAGGACTGGGGAAAGCTGTTTCTACGTAGGAATAGGGCAAAACCTAGAGCAAGAGGGAGATGAAAGAAGTATGTAACTAGTTTGTATGATTACTTAAGAAGTTGATAGATAATGGGAAAGAAAAAGAATAGTAGCTTTAGGAAGAACATGCAAGTCAGATTCAAGAAAAATTAGTGGATACATTTATTATTTGAGAAATAAAAAGATGACAGTTAACCTACAACTGTTTTTAAAACTTTGTATCTGATTACTATTTTATTTACGTGAACTTCATTCTACAACTATAAAAGTTAAAAAAGATATTTAAAAGTTGAATAGTCCATGTGTACAAGGTATATACATAATAATAACGCATTTTTTTCCTCCAAAGGGAAACATTCATAGAAACTTTATTATGAAAGTCATTCCTTTTTTTTCCTCATTGATTTAGAGAGAGGAAGGGAGAGAAAGGGAGGGCAGAAGGAGAAGAGGAAGGGAGGGAGGGGAAAAGGGAGAGACACAGATAGAGAAAAAGAAAGAGAGAGAGAGAAACATTAATGTGAGAGAGAAACGTCAAACCCACCACCTTCCTGGGTATGGGATGATGCTCCAATCAACTGAGCCACACCAGTCAGGGCTAAAAGTCACTCCTAAGTCAACTATTGCCAGAAAAAGTTTAGACCACACACAACTGCATCTATTATTTAAAATATAACTAATAAGAGAACAAAGTCTGAAACTTTTTTTAATGGGAAGAATATTCATTTTAATTATGTTCCAATATGTTACAGAGTTGGAAATGAACAAATTTTAGTCAGTATAAAAGTTTGTTAATATTCAGTCATTCATACACCATGTAAATGAAACACCACTTCCTATAAGGCTCAGATAACTCTAAAATCTACCTTAACTACACACATGTACTATAAAAAATGATAAATACTTAAAACTTACAATGCAAGGAGAAATATTACAAAATATACAACTGTTATAGATCCTTGTATGAAGTTCCTTATTTTTAAAGTTCTGCCTTAGGGAATAATACCATGCTACACAGCAGAACTGAAATGATAAACTATGTTCCTTGAGGTTACAATGCTCAACAATATACTGGGTGTACTCTATAATACCATGTCTGACAACAATCAAAAGAGAAACAAAGAAGACGTTCAATGGTGTTGAGAGAGAAAAAGAGGGGAGTATCAATTGTTACATGCTAATTTTTGCTGAAATGCCCTCATTAAACAATTTACAGCACTGTAGAAGAAGAGAAAAAGGAAGGGACCAGTCTCATCTTTCTACAAAGGATTTCCAAATCAGCACAAACTCAGGCAATTCTAAAAGGTACTATTCTCAATGCTCTTCACTTTTGAACCCTTTACATGGAACTCCTGGTCCTTCATTCATGTTTGTTTTTGTTTTTTATCCTAATTTCTTCATAAGGGTTTACCAAAATACTTTCTGCTTTCTATCATCCAACATACAAACCAAAAGGCAATAAGCAAAACAATAGACTCTTCCAGTCAGGTCAGTTCTAAATACACAAATTTTGGTTTAGATATTAATTCTAAGATTTAGGCATATCCATCCCTCTCCCACACACATTCCCAACATCCCCTTACTTTTTGACATCATCCTCACTTGAAGTTTTAAGATTGTTTTGTCCCTCATCAAATGATTTGCTGTTGGCAAGCTGCTTTGGTTTGCAGCAATACCAGGAATTGTTTGGAATGCTGGCTCAGAATAGATTTTTAAAAAATGTGATCAGTGAATTACTGTAACCTGTCATAGTGGGCTTCTGCAGGCAGACAGAAAGAATTTACCTTAAAGACTTCCCTTATTTATTTCACAAGGGAGAAGAATGTGTCTTAAAAAGGAAAGGAAAAGGATTAGATAAGAAAATACAGTAAAATGGCAATACTGTAGTAGTAATGGGAAAAGGAACGCTTGTAGCCAACCTACCTTTTGGGAAAGTTTCTGTCATAAAAATCAATCTTTCTCTCCCAGTGTTTTTTTTTTTTTTGCGCAAGATTAAAAATCGCCTTACATCAAGAAGGGCAGAAAGCCACTTAAATACTTTTCTTCAAAGGTAGGTACTTTCTTTTTGAAATGAGCTTTAGAGAAAGGAGGAAAATGTAGGGACAGATCATTCAAAGAGGTCCTCAAACATGCGTTGTCCCATTGCTATGTACGCTTCCTTCTCCTCTGGTGTCATCTGTGCCACCAGCTCTGGCCGCTGGCTCACTTCGCTGTATGAGAATGGACGACCAGCCACCATAGCAATGGGGTCATCTGCTACTTCCTCAAACTCGTCGTCCTCCTCGTCATCCTCTCGGTGATGTGCGGCCACAGCAGCTGGACGAGGTGGGGAGTCATCGTCTGACTCACTGGTCTCACTCTCTGAGTCACTGCCATTGGCAGTGGTCACAGGAGCAGCCGCCCCCACGGAGCCAGCGGTAGCAGAGGGGGTCTTCTTCTCATGAATGAGCAGGGCTCGCATAACCTCCTCGTTATCATCCAGCCCTGCACGGCCTTCCTCACGATCTTGAAATGCATCTATATCTAAGCCACCTGGGGGGAAAAACCCAGAAAGTCAATATCCTTAAATATAAAAGATATTCCCTTATAATAAAATATATATTTTAAAACATGGTATTTAAATATACAATAACATTATAAAATAACACCGATAAAACTTCACTGATTCTACTTTTTGAGCTGCTGTCCATAATATATTCAAAATGTTTCTCACAAACTGAAACTTAAGTAGCCTGATGGTTAAGTACATGGGTTTTAAGAGTAATATAGCCTGGAACTGAATCCTGGTTCACATGTAAACTATGCTGCCTTGTCTCTATAAAATGGGGTGATAAAAGCATCTACCTTCTAGGACTCTGGATAAGAGCATCTATATATATAAAAGCCCAAGCGACCGAATGACTGAAAGACTGGTCAACCGGTTGCTATGAGGGGCACTGACCACCAGGGGACAGATGCTCAAAGTACAGGATCGGGCTCCCTCCTGTCTAGGTCAGGCCTGTGGGGATTGGGCCGAAACCGGCTCTCCGACATCCCCCAAGGGGTCCAGATTGTGAGAGGGCGCAGGCCAGGCTGAGGGACCCCACCGGTGCACAAATCGGTGCACTGGGCCTCTAGTATGAAATAATGTCTATGAAAGACCAGGTATAGTAGCTGTCATAACAGGAAATCAAGACATGGCTCCTCACTTTGCTCAGAGGAAAAGCCAGATACTTTACGATGGTGTATAAGGCCCTCCATTATCTTGAACCCCCCTTGCCCACCTACTATACTACGTCTTTTCCTTCCCCTTGCCCATTCTGCTCCAGCCAGAGTGGCTTCCATGGTATTCCTGTACACACCACACACACTTCTACCTTAGAGCCTTTGTACTGCCTCTGGCCTCTACCTGGGACACTTACATCTAATTCCCTTACATCTTTCAAGTCTTTACTCAAACATCATCTTCTTTGAATTCACCTCTATATTCCCAATGCTCTATCTTTTCCCAGAGCAATGATTTTCTAACATAATAAATAACTCCTGAGTATTGTCTTTAGCACCCTCTTTCCCAGCATGTAGGTCCCCCACAACAGATATTTATCTTTTTTATTCAGTGATATATCCCATGTACCTAGAATAGTGCCTATCACTTGTTAGGTACTGAATAAATATTTGATGACTCAATGAATATATGGCAGTTTTAGCTTCCTGAAGCAAACTAAGCACACTTTGAACTCTTTATAAAAAGGAATCTAGTATCATGAATAAAAATTCTCTTACTACACACTTCCTATTTATCATTTTGTGTACACATTTTGTCTGATATATTGAAGATGAAAAATTTAAGACAAACATTTGTATTCGGTATTTGGAAAATAATACCAAACATATTGCCATTTAAAATATATAACAGGATTAAAAGTGTTATTTGAAACTGACTTTTTTATTCAAATCCTTACTCTTAACACTTTTTAACTGTGCTGAGGATATATTTTTCATTGATGAGAGAGAGAGAGAGAGAGAGAGAGAGAGAGAGAGAGAGAGAGAGAGAGAGAGAGAGAGAGATGTGAGAGAGAAACATGGATCAACCAGGGATTAAATCTGGAACCTGAGGATGTGCCTTGACTGGGAATCGAACCTGTGACCCTTTGGTACATGGGATGATGCTCCAACCAAACTACCCAGCCAGGGTTCTGCTTCAATTTTCTCAAAAACAAAACAGGAAAAGAATAATAGTATCTACCTCACTGGATTACTGTCAAGAGTTAGGTGAATATATGTGAAGTGCTTAGAATAGGCTTGGCCCTTAGAATAGTGGTATTTATAATCAACAGCAGCATAAAAAAAAGGCTCAGAAATGGTCAATTCTGGCTACAGTGAAATGAAAGCATTTTCTCATTAACATATTGGAATGGATTAGCTCTTGACATTTTAAAAAAGTATAGAACTCCTGAAGATGAGATACAGGGCAGAAAAGAGAATGGGACACAAGAATTGAGAAGTTAAAAATTCAGGACAAAATAAGCTTCTGACAACCTGGATACAAAAAATGAGAACTGAAATCCAAAGGATAGACCTACTCCTAGAGCCCTTATTGTCAATGCAGTAATTCAAAAGAAAAAAAAAGACAACAAATGCACATGAGTCTCTAAGGCAGTGGTTCTCAACCTTCTGGCCCTTTAAATACAGTTCCTCATGTTGTGACCCAACCATAAAATTATTTTCATTGCCACTTCATAACTGTAATGTTGCTACTGTTATGAATCGTAATGTAAATATCTGATATGCAGGATGGTCGTACACGACCCCTGTGAAAGGGTTGTTTGACCACCAAAGGGGTCGCGACCCACAGGTTGAGAACTGCTGCTCTAAGGCAATCATTACCTCTTTAAAAATTTTCCAAATAGTTTCATATTTCCAAAATAGTGTTTTGATTAATGCTTAAAATAAATATAAAATGAGGGGAAAATCTATTTAGTTTTGTAACCTAAATGAAATTATATTTAAAAGATTTCTAGTCACTAATCATCTGAGAGATGCAAATCAAAACAACACTGAGGTACCATCTCACACCTGTCAGAATGGCTATCATCAACAAATCAACAAACGACAAGTGCTGGAGAGGATGTGGAGAAAAAGGAACACTTGTGCACTGCTGGTGGGAATGCAGACTGGTGCAGCCACTATGGAAGACAGTATGGAGTTTCCTTAAAAAACTGAAAATGGAACTCCCATTTGACCCTGTGATCCCACTTCTAGGAATATATCCCAAGAAACCAGAAACACCAATCAGAAAGGATATATGCACCCCTATGTTCATAGCAGCACAATTCACCATAGCTAAGATCTGGAAACAGCCTAAGTGCCCATCAGTAGATGAATGGATTAGAAAACTGTGGTGCATCTACACGATGGAATACTATGCTGCTCTAAAAAGGAAGGAACTCTTACCATTTGCAACGTCATGGATGGAACTGGAGAGCATTATGCTAAGTGAAATAAGCCAGTCAATGAAGGAAAAATACCACATGATCTCACTCATTCATGGATAATAGAGGCCATTATAAACTTTTGAACAATAATAGATACAGAGGCAGAGCTGCCTCAAACAGATTGTCAAACTGCAGCGGGAAGGCCGGGGAGGGTTGGGGGGCAGGAGGTAGGGGGGTAAGAGATCAACTAAAGGACTTGTATGCATGCATATAAGCATAACCAATGGACATAAGACACTGGGGGATAGGGGAGGGTAGGGGACTGTCTAGGGCGGGGGGATAAAATGGACACATATGTAATACCCTTTGTAATACTTTAAGCAATAAATAAATAAATAAATAAGATTTCTGACAAGGGTCTTGAGAGGTATGGGACAAAAGGAATTGTTCTGCATTATAGATGAAGACAACAAGAAAACAGAATATTAGGATAAATGAGCAAATCTCTGGACGGTAAAGTTTAAACACTAATTCTAGGAACAGTCTTATTTAAGAAAGTTATAAATTAAAAAAAAATTTATACTCAGAAATTGTCAACTTCACTAATGATGTTAATATTTGAGCAATATTTAGAAACATTACTAAATTTCTAAAGCAATTCTGGCTACTTAAGGGCCAAGCTGATAGCAGAAAATATATAGGAAGAGCTGAAAGTTGTATAAATGGGCAGAAAAGTGGCAGATCCAGTTCTACACTGGCAAATGTAAAAAAAATCTCTAGAAAAGTAATCTAAAATATGCCGAAAGGTGTGGTCCAAGCTATCAGATACAGGGCAGAAAAGGTTTTTTTAAAAAATACTATTTTTTTAAAATTAATTTCAGAAAGAAAGGGAGAGGGAGAGAGAGATAGAAACATCAATGATGAGAGAAAATCGTTGATCAGCTGCCTCCTACACACCACACACCAGGGATTGAGCCCACAACCCAGGCATGTGCTCTGACTGGAATTGAAACGGGACCTCCTGGTACTTAGGTCGACACTCAACTGCTGAGCCATGCCAGTTTGGCTAAGGTTGTTATTCTTAATATGCTTCCAGAGCCAAAGCAACAAACAAAGTATCAGGTAACAACCTGAAGGACATTGGAAATAAAACTCAAATTATTAATGATGAACCCATGCATGAACAACATATATGGTATTTTTCTGGTCAGTAGGTCTCAAGCCGAGTACATTGACTGGAGATTGTCCAAAAAGAGGCAATTAAAATAAAATAAAAACTGTAGGTGAAGGGGCTGGGGGAACAGAACTATTTGTAAGGAAAGTAGAATCAAAAGAAATGAAAACTTTTAGCACCCTACCCAGTGTGGCTAAGTGGTTAGAGTGTTGAGCCCACAGTGAAGAGTCGCAGGTTCGATTCCTAGTCAAGGGCATGTATCTGGGTTACAGTTTGATTGCAGCCCTCGTTGGGGAACATGCAGGAGGCAATCAATAGATGTTTCTCTCTCTCCTCTTTCTCCCCTCTCCCCTCTCCCTTCCACTCTCTCTAAAAATCAATGGAAAAAAATATCCTTAGGAGAGGATTAACAACAACAACAACAACAACAAAAAACAACAAGGAAAGGAGTTAGAACTTTCTGTAGAGTAATAAGGACATGATTGAAGTCTATGAAATTCTGAAAGATGTTAAAATGAAGTTTGAGGTAAATTAAGGGTAAGATAAATAAGACTCAATTCATACATGCACTGGATAAAGTCTATTTTATAGTCATAAAACTTAACAAAAACAAATTTAGACATGACAAATCTAGTACACTAATGACTTATTTAAGGTCCTTATGATTCAAATTCAATTATTCTAGGAATTATAAACATTGAATGTTAAGCTTATGAGTCTAATTGTATATAATATTGGTTAACAATAGTTTTATTCAGTTGTGTTTCTAAGTTCAAAGAAAATAAGATTTGGTTGCTTCAAGAATAGGCAAGAAGCCAAGTTGCGGAAAACAAGCCTATTAAATAGCTGACAGCCTAATTACTATATAATCTACAACAACTTGAATCAAAATAAACATCATAGCCAAGCTGATCAGGAGGAGGGAGAGTGAAGTATGGTTGCCA